CGAGGTGGCCGCGCTCTGGTTCGGCTGCTCCCAGGGCGACCTGATGCGGGTGCACATCTCCGATGGCCTGGACTATGTGGCCAAGCTGGCAGCTGAAGGTACTTTCTTAGGGAGCATCCCGGGTGCCCCATCGAGCCCGGGGGGTGACGTGCTGGGGAGCAGAGTCCTGGGCGGCTTTCACCCTCTGCTTCCTGTCCCTGCCCATCTCCCGCCATGTGTCATGAGCCTCGCCGGGTCTCTGCAGCTCACAGGCCTGTCCTTGCCAATGTTGCAGGGGCCCTTAGATGTGCTGCCTCCCCCAGCACCGAGGGCTGCTGCTGTGGGTTTCATCTGGAAAGAGAAACCCCAGGAGAGAGAAGCAGCCATAATATGGCAGAGGGGCTGTCTTGACCACCCCATTCGTTGCCTCCCCACCGTGTGTAGCTCATCTCTGTCCCATGGGATAACAAGTCTCTGCGCTCCCTCCTGCAGCCCCGTCCCAGTACGATGCCATCATGTTTGATGTGGACAGCAAAGACCTCACGGTGGGGATGAGCTGCCCACCCCCAGCCTTCGTGGAAAAGACCTTTCTGCAGAAAGTTAAAACCGTCCTCAAGCCAGAAGGTAGGAGGGGAGATCCGGCCGTGTCTCTGCGGCCAGGCTGGCTGGTCCTGCGTGGGGTTTGAGTAATGGGGCTGTGCCACTGTTTCCCATCCTGGAGAGTAGTGGCCAGGATTGCTGCGTGGCATCTGCCGCTCCTGGCGGGTCCCAGATTCGGGTGTTTCAGTGGGCATCGTGACAGCAGGGAGCAGGGTGGATTGGGTGGCCTGCGGCGCTGCTGGGTCAGGCAGGCTGAGACATCCCGGGGGGCCAAGGAAGGTTGCAGGAAGGCAGAGGGTGTAGGTGGTACCAGGGAACAGATTGTGTGGCCACCCGCAATCCACGTGAAGCTGGGCCAAGGGCACCAGGGGGGATGCCAGCACTCCTCGTGCTGCCGCGGGGTGGGCGTTTGCACCAGGGTGGCACCGATTCAGCGGCATTCCCACAGGGAGCAGGGCGGTGTGCGAGGGCTGGTCTGAGCTCCCATCCCTCTCACCCTGCTGCAGGCGTCTTCGTGCTCAACTTGGTGTGCCGTGACGCCCGGCTGAAGGAGTCTGTCCTGGCCACCCTCAGGGAGGTCTTCCCGCTGCTCTACGCGCGCCGCATTGAAGGGGAGGTCAACGAGATCCTGTTCTGCCAGCCCAGCCCCGAGGGCCGGCGGGACCCCACAGAGCTGGAGGCACGTGCCAGGGCGCTGGAGGGGGCCCTGCGGCAGCCTGGGCGCCCCTG